AGTAACAGGTGCCACGCTAGTAGTAACAGGTGCCACGCTAGTAGTAATAAGAAGCTATTAATTTACTTTAATTTATTTCTATTTCATGGCCAAATCCCTTCAGGACTCCTTCGTCAACGTGAAGGCCCCCAACTGCACCGCACCTCGGAAGGTCCATCTGCACAGCGACTCTGGATCGTCTCAGACCAAGGAACCAGCCGGACGAGGAAGGCTCGCCTAAAACGGAGGTATGCCCGTGAGGAATTGTGGCATCATATGCAACATATTGTTCAAATCATGGTATAATATGATATATGTAATCATATAAATGTATCCTTGCGTCGTCTTTGCGTCTTTGATTCTCCTTGCCTTTCAAGACCAAAATAGACCAAGATTGTCAACTTGAGCTGATTATGGCTGGTTGAGCCTTTTTGGTGCCTTGAAAGGTTGGGCCTTCGTTCAAAATGATGCTCGCATTCCAAGACCACAAACATCTGAAACAAGAAGACATGGTGTCAGAATGTGTCAAACCTAGGATGTTCTGCCTTCCGTGCCAAACTACACACGATGGTTTTTGCTTCATCCAAACATGGGAGGACGCCGTGCTTCGTTTTCCTGCTCCAGCGCCTACTATGAGAGCTTTGGTTGGCTGTAGATCGATGAGGCGTCAAAGGATGATGGACCTCAGTGAGCAACCTCGACCTATCGACCTACACAGTTCGATGAAGGTCAGTGCCCTGCAAGCGACTGTTCACTGTTCGCAGCTCTTAAAAAAAGCTCATGTTTAAACGAACGTGAACAGTCACTTACAGTAGACATGCCATGGCTACAACTCGACTTCGTTAAGTAAATTGTCTTCCTCTTACTGCCCTCGTCTACATTGATTGTGCAAAGTGGTTTTCACCATGCCAAGTGCAAGCTTCTCCACATCCCCTGCATCCAGCCAATCCTGTCCGATGCGTTTAATCCTGCCAGAGGTACACCAGCCTGTCCTGGAAAGAGCTTGTACTCCACGCAGTGGCCTACAGTTGGCTCAGCTCGTTGACTGAATTGTGTTTCAGAAGGTGACGAAATCAAAGTATGATCTTTCTAATTGTGAGAAGCTCTTGATGTCCAAAAACCAGCTATCTTGAGCAAGGGTACTGGATGGCTACACCATGCTACCTCCAAAGAGCCACTAGATAACCTCAAACTTGTCCGTCCGCACTCCCAGTAATTGAAGTAGGTCATTAATGCCAAGCAACCTAGGATTCTCATACTCATATGGTTTCCGACTGAACAACATCCCGCACCTGATGACAAGTCGTATGCAGTAGTTTCTCCATCTCCGCTGGCATTTGTACAGCATTTTCAAGCTGAATTCAGTTTTTGAGGGGATCCTGTGGCGCAAGAATGTTGGAGATATCAAGAACCTCCGCAGTTTGTGTGATAGATGTTCCTGTGGAATTAGTAAATAGAAACAATAAGCTACTAGGAACAAGTGCATCGCTACTAGTAACAAGTGCCTTACTAGTAGTGACAAGAAGCTAGTAGAAACAATATAAATTAGAATTCAATTAGCAAAGAAGGCTACTAGGACCTTTTCGCGATTCCGATGTCCTCCCCCGATGTCGTCCCAGGCGCCATGGGCGGCTGCATCCAGGATGGCCGCCTTGGGCACTGCGGCGCCCAAAAGCTCCCGGTGCCGGCCGGGCACCATCCTAAAATCATCCGGGCTGACCCGACATCGAGGCCTACATCGAGGTTATAGCTGATGCAACCAAACAGGAACATGTATTTGGGAGATTCGCAAAAACTGCGCCTGCTTGCCTTCTCAAGAAGTGGTGAATGACCAGAGCGGTCACAAAAAGGACAGCTCTGCGCCAACATCTCCCGGAGGCAAAGGATGCTGATACTCCGTGGGCTGGGCAGCAACATAAATTGAAAGGAACAAGAACACGTCTCACCTCTGTTGCAATGTATAGACGGTCCTTGAGAGCCGACAAACAGGTCACAGCACAAAAGCATCAATCAGACAACACACAGTGAACAGTTTGGATCTTAGAAGTGCAAATGGTCTTCAATGCTTGCAGCACCTTGGACCAACGGCAGCACAAAAAGGATGGAGTGCCAGTGAAAAGACTGGACACAAACCAAAAGGTGCGCACTGCAGGACAAGAAGGCAGGCAGCAGTGCAACTTGCCTCAAACCACCACCCGTTTTTCAAACCTCTCAAAACTCCATGTGTAAGTGTGTCAGTAAGATTCATTTGTGGAGTGCGTTCTGGCGCCGCTGGCCCGCAAAGGCAGTCTCACCCAACCATATATGAGTTGAGATCGTGGAGCTTCCCTCAAAGGCCGCTTAAACGTTGGAAGACTTGGATGGATTAATGTTGATAATGATAACAATGATTGGTGCAGCATTCATTTCAAGAAGAATACAAAAGGTGCCACTTTTCATGTGTCATTCTTCGCATCGCACCTTTAGCATGATGCAATTCCACGATCGAATACACTCTTGCAGCTTGGTGTCTCCATACCGCCAGATTCTGCTGAGGCCAAATCCAGCGCCACCCAACTAGGCCACAGGTGACGCGGGTCGCGAAGCTCAAAGTGAGAGCCAGTTAATTAGCAATGGATCATGTCACTAGTTCATGCACTGGCTTTCCAATAGGTACTCGCAGGGAATTCACGTTTCTACTTCTCCCTGGGCAGTGTCACTGCTATTCATCTGAGGGTTATGAAGTCTAATGAGATCCAAAGAATGAAGGGAGGTAGTAGCTTGTTGGAGACCAGGCATCACCCACCTCATTCAGAACCCGCATGGCCGCATGTCACATTAACATGGACTCATTCAGCCTAGCTTCAGCTGAAGGAGTTTCCTTGGTGCATCCAGCTGGCCCTCCTTCATAGAAACCACATCAAGTTCATCTCACTCGTCTGAATTAGACCAACTTAAACCGACCAACTTAAACAGGTGAAACTGAACCAGGCTCGAGTGTGTGTGTGTGTGTGTCACACTCTGTTCCAAAGAGTTTCTGTTCTGTTCAAAATCGCAGGGGACCAGGCAGGATGCATCGTCGCCTGGTCAACGAAGCTGGCGATGCATCCGAGGATATGGAAATGGGACGCCATTTCTACGTACCTGCAAAAAACTGTCCTTTACGCTGTGACTCCACTTTACCTTTTTTGTTTCCATGGTGGTTCTTCGCATGATATCCCCCAAACAGGTTTCCTTAGCTTTGGTAAAGTGCTAGTGAGTTTGTCAAACAGTTCTGTTCTTCGGACCCTTTCGCCTTACCGTTTTTGCAATAAAGTGCTAATGCAGTAACTAGCTTCCACAGTCACGCAAAACTTTTGTTCAACATTTCAAGTGCGCGGACCCTTTCACCTTGCGGTTCCATCAGCCATTTTCCTGAGGAATTGAGCTAACTGCAAACCCATTTTCAAAGTGTGACCCTGTGTGCTAAGCACCTCCACATTCAATTGTTGGGTCAGTTCACAACCAAAAAACACAAAAGAGCAACGACCCACCAAACAAAAAGGGGAGAGCCTTCCAAACCCACTCATCCTCCAGCTCAGTTCCAGGCGATGACCTCCATCGACCCATCGATCTTCGCCACCCGCTGACCGCCCGTCTGACTCGACTGGACTTCGCCCAGGTACAGCGTGAGTGGGTGCGGCTTGGCCGCCTGGTCCGCGGTCTCGGAGGACCATTGGAAGCCCACGTGAGTGGTGTAGGTGTCCTGGCGACGTGAGGGGTGCCGGGATCGGTGGCACGAGCCGCGTGAGGCGAAGAAAGTTCGGGAACACATTGGACTGTTAGTCTCGGGTTGTGTGTTTTCCAAGGGCTGAGGATAGGGACTGAAAAAATGAGATGGGATCGAATGGGATAGGAAGCCTTGGGTTTTCTGAGGGTCTGAAAGGCCTTGCTCCCCAAGACCTGTCACGGCAATGCTCGGCTCAAGTTCCGCACAGCACAGGTTGGGATTTGTGTGTTCTGCCTCAAGGTATTGATCCCAATTCAATGGACCCTTTTTTATGCGATGCCTGACGCACAACCAGCCCCACACTAACATGGCAAGGTCAAGGCACAAAGGGCTTCGAAATGCTTCGAATATGATTTTATACCTTACTCTGGCAGAGTGGTGGAAATATTGCATACTTCAGAAGCGGGCCCCGCTTTCGACGTCCATCTATGTTCGACCAGGCCGCTGCACATCCCCTGCGATCTTCCTGTTTCCCACCGGGGCACCATTTCTCGTCTATGAAGGTTGAACTGCACTGACCTGTGCTACTCTAGGCGCAAATGGTGCGCCATGACCCTGGCAAAGAGCTCGGATCTGTCTGGCCGCATTGATATAGATTGTGTCTATTATATTACCAGTACCAGTACCAATGGATGATGGTTAGCAAAGGCCAAACCCAAGATATAGAACTGATCATTTCCACCTGGTCTGCGCCCAGCATCATGTCAAACGGTCTTGCGGGCTCATTGGCCCTGAAAGGCCCGGCTCAACGCTCGGCCGATCTCGATCTCGGGGAGTTCCGCAGCGCTCCCGCGACTTAGGTTGCATTTTGTGGTGTGTATAGCAGTAGTGAGCTTGCTTATAGCGTTGAACATGGTGGATTCCAACATCCAAAAAGAATCTTATCTAAATCTGTAGCATCTAAGGACGATCATCTCCGGACAAAGTACCTTCGTGGAAAGCTGAGATTTGGTTCAGCTGTCTCAGTCGCACTATTCCAGCCCATTCTTTGCTCCAAAGAGCGTTGGGTCCATCTTCATTGCCATGGCCTTGGGTGGACACTTTTGCCTTCGCACCAGGTACATGGTGAACCCAAAGAACAAGCCGATGGAAGCCAGCAAGGTCAGCCACAACGGCATGGGTGTCCAAGCAGTGATCCTGATCCAACTGGCACTTCCTGGACCAGTAGATCTTGTTTGCAGCAAATGCACCTCAAAAATCTTTCAGTTTGGACTCTCTGGAACTGACTGCTTAGCACTACTTGGCACTCAAAGTTTGGTGAAACTGCCCCCGAACCCACACGCTATGCAGCCCTCCAGGGAGAAAAAGAAACAAGCTGCTGGCTTGCTGTGCATGGCTCAGCAAACATGTTTGGAGTCAAGAGTCTAAGGCTGCACCTAAGGCCCAATCGATGTCGCCACCATTGATCTTACGCATCACCTTCACTTCGCCCAGATCTGTCGCCTTCACGGCCGCCAGAAATGCTAACTGATAGGAGAGCGCAAAGCAGGCTTTCTCGAAGCTCGATGCAAGCCTTAGATGGGGCTTGATCAGACCAGAACACGCAGCTCAAAGCAGGGAAACAGGACTGTTTCCATTCCCCATCTTTCCGGCACCAACCAACCTGGCTTGCGCAAACAACTTATGAGAGGAAACCCTTTTTCACGGCCACGCGGCTCCTTACCACAAACTTGTGATGCTTCCTCCTCACTGGGCGGGACTCCCTCCATCTTGTCGAACTTGAGATCTTGTCTCACCTCTCAAGAAAATCACTCCCACTCGACGGATATGCGCGCGCGCTCTCTCTCTCTCTCTGTTTCTCTCTGTGGCATTTCCGTCGGCGATATCTGCTGAAAAGCACTACTTGAATATCCTGTCACATACAGTATGACATATAATATATGTCATATATATATGACTATATGTCTTGCCCTGCTTGGATATATAGTTCAGGGGGTGGCTATCTGGTCTGTCATGTATATGAAATGGCCGAAATGGCTTTGTGAAAGGGCCGAACAGCTCAGCTACAACAGCACAACGCCCAGCCAAACCTACCACTCATCAAATTCATGTGTTCTCGTCGTTCTCGTGTTTGCTAATCAAGTCACATAGAAGAAGTTCTCCGTGGCAATCAAAGACCCCCTCAACGGTAGCTCATATTCATAACGCCCTGGAGCCGTTGACTCCTGAAAAAGCAGTCTTTGGATATTGCTCTCCTGAGCGACTGGCTGAAGAGTTGGACACAGGACCCACAGGTGTAGCGGGATGGTGCCCGGTTGCTGAGCGCAACTGAAGATGTTCCACAGACTCTGCAGTTTACCTAGGACCTGCGACCCGCAAAACCATCTCAATGAACACAAACTTTCCATGCAATGCCTAAGAATGTTGAGAGGTTTCTTGACAAAAATAGGAGGCCAAAAAGTCTGAAGCGTTCACCTGGAACAAGTGCTGGGATGATGGCACAACCTGGTCCATGCCAAGTGATCTTCCCCTGGAAACTGGTCACAGTGGTCCGCGACCAGTGGTTGCAGTGTTCTGCGACCAGTGGTTGCATCAAGAACCGTTTGTCAGGTCATGCTTGAAATCCAATGCCTCGGATTTCTCTTTTGCCTCCGCAATTGAACAACACACGTAACACAACTGGCACTCATTAATTTGCATATGATCCTCCCACATGTTGCGATACACTTGCAGCTGACTTCATTCATTGTTGACACACGAGGCACATCGGTCCAAAACCGCCTCCACTTCCCAACCTTTCGCACTGCGTTTCTGAAACCGAGTGGCACATTGCTGGCTGCTGCCAACACCTTCCATTTTGGAACCGTGCCGTTCCCGAGAGTAGCCTTTGGGGTAGCAGGGGTCTTGGTTTCCATCACCTTGCACAGGTCTTGGGCCAGTCAAGCACACACAAACCAGTTGCTGGCCAACCAGGGGCATCGGGTTGTGCAAAAACCGATAAGGGTCAAAATGAAAGGAAGGAGAACAAAACATGATGTCCAAAGGACAACAAATTAACTAAGCTAGACTCAAGCAAAGGGCTCAGATCGATCAGCTTGTCTTGTGCATAGTCTTGTCCAAAGCCCAAATAGCTGTGCGCATAGAGATGGTAGGTCTTCCCCAGCGCTGTGCGAAATTCGAAGGTGTCACTTTCAGCGACTTTGGGCACTTCCTGTGCCTCGATCTGGAAGGACACCTGCGCTTTGAGCACAACCGAGCACCCTGCCAGCTCTGCTTTTCTGCACTTCCGAAAGGACCCAGGAGTGAGTGGCGGGTGTTATGTTTCATGGATTTTAGAATATTTCCCGGGTCATCTGCTGCTGGTTTCAGAGAACCCCCCAACAATCGCCCCAGCAATGTTGGGTTTTGTGAAAGCCCCAAATGTCTTGATCCTGGATCTAGGCTGATCTAGGACACAGGACACTTGTCTGTTTCTTTAAACACGCTGAGAATCGGATTCTGAGGTGGGTGGGTGGCCCAAAGTCAGAACCTGCCAGTCAAAGAGGCGACCATCACCTCCTTCCAACGACAATGAGCGAGTTCCGTGTTGACGTGTTTTTTGCACGTCGCCTGGGTGGATCCACCCCCCATCTCGATGATCCCAAGCGAAGGTGAGCTAGAGGACTCTTCACCAAAGGTGCCGTGCAAATAGTTCGCGGCGATCCAGGCAAGGCCAGCTTCTTCCTTGCCTTGATTGCCCACGTGCATGCATCCATGCATCCGCATAATCATCTACTGAAGGATGATCAAGCGATGCGTTTGATGCAGGGATGATGCAGCTAATCCCCAGCTTTCGCAGCCAAACCTTCTGCATTAAATAGCACAGGTGGTACTTGTCTTCTTCCAGTTTGTTGACCCAAATACACATCCGAAACATACCATATCCGATTATCCCAGTACAATTTGGCATGCAGGAATTACATATGTAGTATATGTATACATATATACATTATACTTTGATTCTCATCCATCGCTGTCTGCCAAGCTTCCCTTGATGATATCCGCCCAGTCCTCGTGGAACCAAAAGCCAGAGCTTAGGAGTGTGGAGCGGACCGTCTCCAGAACAGCCTTGGCCTTTTCGCTGGGGACCGCACGTAGGCCAGCCTTGAATAGGACAGGAGGGCAAAGTGACACTCACCACCTTCACCAAATATCCTCATGTGACCGTAGTGCCGTGGTGCCGGTGTCTACGCCAGCCTGAGGCTCTTACGTTTCCAATGACACCTGCCACCGAGAAAAGAAAAAAGGGTTCCAAATGCAAGCACCAGGAACTGTGGCCTTCAGAAGCACCGGTGTCTCTCTCTGCCGGTGACCCTTGACAAACTGCTTTGCGAAAGCTACCAGCCGATTGATGCTGTCCCTGCAGCCTGGAGTTGGGCGTTTTCTTGGGTTCATTGCTCCAGCGACCCGCTAAGGCTGGAGCAAACATGTATAGCCAGTGACCATATGATGATCTTGAAAATGACCTGGGACCACATAAGGTGACCATATACGGAGTGACCTTATAAGGTCACTATCTTCCTGATGACCTTGAAAACGACCACTCCACAAACTGCCATATTCAGGTTTGGTCGGTACCCTCGCTATAGAATGGGTCCCTGAATGGTGTTTCGATTTAAATCGTCCCCATCCTATAGAGATCCATTCACCGGGGATTCTTCTTGCAGGCTTTGTCACTTGATTTATGTGCCCTGTAGTGAACACCAGGTCTCAGACACGCCTTGAAGGTCATCGCTGCGTGCGAAGTGAGAAAGCCCAGGCTTCACTTTCCAGGTCTGGTTATCCCTGACACTCAAGTCCACGCTGGGCACGGCTTTCCCATGCTGCACATACATGTTGAAGATGTGGATCCGTGTGCCACTGCTGCCAGCGTCAAAGACCAAAGCTTGTTCCAAGGTTGAGGGCTTTCTTAAAGCAGGTTGCGCTAGCACTCGAAGGATGAGGAGACACCAGCAGGTCTTCATCGTCATGGTGCTCTGGCGCAATTATGGTTTATACAATTCCCTTTCCTCGTTTCTGTACTTGACGCATTCTTCAACAAAAGAACAAGCTGCTCCATCTCTGGATTGTTCAATCGGTAATGCACACCATTGCTTGTTTTTCCATTGTTGCTCGCAGCTTTCGATGGGGATGCCAGGAAGACCATGTTCAATGAAGAGTTACAATCGATCACTGAGCAATATGGCTAGCTAGCGTGTCGTGCTGACAACATGGCGGACAACTATAGACTATAGTCACTAGATCTGTGTATCTTGCTGCTGTGCTTGTCACCATCTCATGGTATGTCCCAACAAACCCGAAACAACTAGATTTCATCCAACAATCCTGTAGCCATCTACGATTCAGAATGGGTCTCTGCTGGTTTCGAACTTTGATGACTTCATAGGATTCTGCACTTGCATGTTGGTTGGAAGGAGGGTAGATCAAACCCAAGGCAGGTGGTTGCGACGCGTTTTGGGAAGCCTTTCCGGCCTTTCCCAGAAGGACGGTCGGTCGACCTGAAAAAACACACCAAAAGACTCTTTGGCTTGGTGACCTCAGGTGGTCATCTCTTTACCTCTGATTTGATTGGGTGAACGACCGTAGGTTTATTTAACCATGTTTAACATGGTTCAACCTATAAAACGACTGTTAGGGTAGTTAACCCAAATAGGGCTTTTTTACCATGTTTTACCTGATTCATAGGGAGTTTTCACCCAAGCATTTGTCTTAAAACCGCTCACCGGGTCGACACACAGAAGCGCTCCTGGTGCCATGGGATCAAGTTCGAGGAGCCAGGCCTGGACCCAACGGAGCGAACGGTTCCGGAACGAAAATGAGCCAGGCTTCTAGACGGTCAGGTGCAGAAAGTCTGAGGAAGTTCCAAAAGGGGATCAAAATAGAAAAAGATCTACTCCAATGAGTTCGCGAGTCCGTGTCCAGTGTGTTTGTTGTTCATTTGTTGGGGTCGATTCAATGAAGAGACCAAAAGAAGAGATCCCTCCTCCAAACGAAAGTGGCTTCGAAGAATGATGGCCCCTTATTTAAATTGATTGAAACCGCTATGCGTGTGACGGATCCTTGACCTGCTCCTTCCTCTCCCTTGCCAAGAGCTCAACACGGAAAACCATCGGAAGAAATAGAGTCTCAGGGCAACACATCTGCTTGTGGGAGTGTCTTTCTGGCTGGTCCACCTTGAAGACCAACAACATATTCAAATCAACATTTCGCGGACATGGAGACTGACTGACTTGAATAAGGAGCCTACCATAACATGGTTGCAAAGAACTCAGAACTGCCTACCAGTATTACAGCTTCAAATGAACTACAGTATATATATATAATATACATATAATATATATATATATACATACATACATAGATTCATAGATAGATAGATACGTACATATAATGAGCGGCCAAAACCACTAGACACCCCATTTACCCCCAAACATTCCTCCTCGTAGTAGCGTATCCCTCAACTTTTGCTGGCTTGACAACCAGCTAATGACTGTACAATAGCTTGCTCTTGATTCAGCCTTCTCCATGGAGTTCAATGATGTTCTATGATTCCTTGATCTTCCCCTGCGTTCGGTGATTTTGGGGACTCCATTGAGTCCACACATCCCCCAGCTCCACGCGCCTCTTCTCGAAGAGCTCCAGGCGCATAGCCACCAGTGGCAAACCACAAAGCTCCACCAGGAAATCCAAGAGCCTAGCAACCAACTGTGGGGTCACACTGGTCACGCAAAACCAGCAGCATCGTAGCATCTTAGCATCTTGTAATCTGCACTTTGTGTGCAAAGAGATCAGCAGTGAGTGACCTTGAGTAACAGAAACGAACAAACCCTGCCTGAGGCCTGTCTGCAGAACGAGTGGATGCAAACTAGGAATGAAGTGGTCCAACACACATACACAACACGTGTTTTTGCTTGAGGGCGTTGCCTCAAACTGGTGAGCGTTCATCTTCGTTATGAGGTCGCATTTGCAGCATGCTGCAGGTGTTGCGTGAGGGCATCCTATGGACTGGACACCCAATACCTGCCACAGGTGTTTCGGTTCCTTCATTGGGGACCAACCAAGTTGTGCCACGGTGCCAGATCATTGCAAAGAGGAAAGGATGTTGATGGGGTGAGGTCTTCATATGTCTTCATGTGGGCACCTCGGCCAGCGGAACTTCTCAACCAGCTTTGGCCGAAGAACTTCGCATCCTCGACTGTTCCCTGCCTCTCATCTTGAAGTACTCTCAGGAAGGGCTCAGCAGTTTCACAGGCCCAGTTCACACCCAAGTCCACCTCCAGGCTCTTGGGATGCCGACTCCGACTCAAAAAAACGGCAACAAGTGGGCAACTGCAATGCACACTCCATGGCAATGAGCTCAACACCTTTGTGACCCTATGTCAACACGAAACGGCCTGAGTTCATGTTTAGTGACTGGAGGTTCACACACCAAATGATGTCCAGCCTCGACATCATCAGCTAAAAGCTCACGCAGTCCTGAGCAGTGCCATGGGATCACAATTGCAACGACTGGACCCAAAGCCAAAGCATTGACAAAGGTAGCACTCGAAGGGTCCAGGAGATTGGAGAAACAAGGATAAACGTGAGCAGCTCCTACAACTTTAGGGAATACATCGTCTTCAGTGAGTCGCTCCAACATTGTGTTATTGGATGTTATTTGTACCCTGCATGTGGATACATGCCATCAAACACACCTGGTGGCCCTTGCGGCTTCTTTTTGGTAACAGGGACGTTCAAGGGGCCGCGGCCGTTGACCGTGAATGATTGACCGTGAATCGCGTCAGTGTTCGGTTGTGTGGGGGTTAATTCATCACATCTCGCCGCGTCTTCGGCACCAAACCATGAAAATCTTCGAAGACGCGGGTCCAAGTGGTGTCGCTCTCAGCCCAGGGTCGCTCATCAAAGCTGGTTTGCAGCTCTTGGAGATGCAATGGCCTTGCTGGGTTGAACATCGGGTCCCGGGGGTGCCACGTGGTCAGCCCACCATTGATGGGGTGCAAGGCCGGAAAGCAACAAATCCATTTCTTTGGTGATCGAATGGTTGAGGAGAACTGAAACATGTGGTTTGAGAAACACATGGTCTCCACTTCAGTGCTGGCATTCCAACCATTTGCTTACTTGACTATCCCGGAATCATTTAAACACATCGGGAAAATAGCCATGTCTGCCCAATTGCTGACTCAACTCTCCGCGTTTGTCAAGGCGGCGTGGTATTTATAATATCGTCATGTTGATGGGCTGATTTTGTAGTACACGGAGGGAGGATCAAACCTACATTGATTATGGATCTCCTGGGTGGTTTTCTACAAACATTGATCTATAGGTATTTCTGAGCTATGGACAAGCAGTGGGCAGGCACGCCTAACATGAAAACACAACCAATGATTGGAACCAGCCGGCATCAAACCTCTTGGCCATAGTTGAGACCAGTATGGTCAGCATGTCACCCCAAACTGTCCCATGATATGACCCGGCTTAACCAAATAGATGGCGCATGATGGCGCATAAAGGTCAATGTATGGGGGGGGGGGCCTTGACCAGGCATGGGAGTCGAGTCTCTCACCACTTGGCGCCTCAGAAAGGACTGGAAGATGCAAAAGCCATCCTGGGGGGAAGCGAACCCAACGACGACGGGGTGAGGGACGACCGATGCACCTGCGCTAGAATTGGTATAGGTGGGCATGATCAAATGGTGATCTTAGATTGGCCACTTTATCATCTGCTTCAAGGACATTTTGTCATCAGTCTATTTAGAATATACGCGCAAACGGTCAACATCACAGTTTGTTTGCTGATGCTTCTTCACACTTGATGAGGGGCCTGACATGGAGTTTTGATGTCTGTCTGGCGGGTGTCCTGCAATATTGGAGCAGTTGTCAACAATCTCAGACCATCCACGTATGGAACAGCAACCAGTAGATTACGGTCATAAATAATACATTATATAATCATTAATGTGGGCATACCAGGGCTAAATTCATGTGGCTATTCCACAATGGTTGGTCTAGGATTGTTGACAACCTGCTTGTGATTTTCTCTCCGGGAATGCTGCACAGCTCATCTGGGTGTTCTGTCCTCATCGAAGCGTGCCAAAGACTCTTCAACGCCTCAGTGACAACCGTGCACCGTGCCGCAGCTGGCGGTGCACGACGAAGGGTGTGTTGCTGGGTAACCTTGGGAGTGAAGGTGTGTTTCTATTATTCTATGCAACCGGTGCCACCTCTGCAGAATTGTGTGCCTGGCCCTTTTTCCACCAAAAGCAACCCTTGCACGAAATCTGAATGTGATCATTTCCTCCGACATCCTCCGACATCCTCCGATGCCCAGTGCCACCAAGGTTCCTGTACCAAAGTCTTCGTCCAGAATGACGCCCGTGGGAGGCTCCATGAGGATTCAGCAATTTGACTTCTAGAGCTCTTAATTGACTGCTTGCTCTCGTTTGAACATATGTGGATGTGTCTGATGCGTCTGCAAATGCACTGGTGACAAAACCTGGCAGGCCTGTTTGTGCACAACATACATATTGTGCTTTCTACACGCAAAGAAGATCTACCGTTTGAAAAGGAACATGGTCTTGAGAAGGTCCAGGCTCCATGGCTCGATGGTTTTCTCCCGGAAACGGAGGATTGCCTCAATGGACGCGGGTTTTCTCAAGCTCAACCTGCAATGGACGCAAAAGCCTGGGCCGAAATGCAAACCATTCTGTCCTGGATTCCAAGGATTCCATTGGACCATCCAAGACTGAGCATCCAACATCTTTACATTGGATTTTGCTCCGGTTACTCCATTCTTTCAACCTTGCTCTAAGCAGTTCTTGCTAGCACTGGTCAACACCAAATCCGCAACGAGGAGGACCTGTTCCGGCCTTTTCTCACACGGTTAAAGACCGGGAACGAAACGCAGCAACCACTGTGGAGAGCAGTGGTTCAATCTCCTGGATTGGGCATGTCTCAAAAGGGTGCCGTCTTGTTCAATCAGAGGAAGGCCGCACGAATGAAATGAAACTGAAACAGTACTTCTACGAATCTGAGGGTCGTCGGCATCCTGTATCCTTGTCACAATTTCTTCGTCTACGACTGATAGCATTCATGTTTGAGACATTGCCTTGTCACCAGCATTGAAAACTGAAGCACAACCCAAGAGCCGGTCTTTCGTTACAGCATTGGCTTTCTGATGAGCACAACGCCTGTATATCGGTATTTGCCCCCAAAGCCAATGCCCCTAGTTTGCGGAAAGAACATGAAAGAACTGCTGTGCTTGCTTCCTTGGCATTGAACCTTTTTGATGTTTGCTAGCCATCCCATCCCTGCCATGAACAACCGCTTCAGTCACAGGAAGTTTGAAAGCAAAGACTTTCTACTCCTACTCACCAGTGGTGGAGTTTGGAGCTATATGCATAGGCTTCAGAAACCATCGTGGATTCACATGGATTCACAAATGGCAAAAGCCTCGTTGGGTGAAACAGATCCTCACCCAATACTGCCATCCCGTAGACAAATCTCACTCTACATGACCGATGCTTGTCCGTCTCTTGTCCTTGCTAAGGGGTTCACGGTTCACACATATCAGCGTTGTAGCGCTTGTATGTCTCAGGTTGCAGTTCCGAAACGAGAGTGGGATTCCACTAACCAGTGCCGGAATCAGATCTACAGTTTGGGTATATTATCCCATTCCCTGCAACAGTGGATGATGATGGTTAGTATAGGCCTTTCGGCCTTTCTCTAAAGTATCTCAAATAAGGATCATTGTTTACCGACTGTTCCAGATCATGGGACGCCCCCAATCTACAGTACTCTACAGTGGTCTCCCCCTACAACTCGGCAGAGAAATCATATCTACACACCGGGCATGTGCCGGAATTACTTCTGCCGGAGCTCGACCAGCAGGCCTCGGCCGGGGAGAAATTGATGAAAACTGTTTCGAGGCCTAGTGGAACATGTGGACAGGTGACACAAAGGCTTTAGAAGCTGTCAGGATGTGTCTAATGACCGTTTTTGCTTCACAAGTGTGCCGCCAGGCATCAATACAGTTGAGGCAGAACATGTGGCCGCATTGCAGGACGATCGCTGGATTCTCGGGCTCGGCTTCGGCAAAGTCTTGATAACCTCGGGGGCTCCGGACATTTGAGCTCGGCAGTTCCCGCCGCTGTGGTGAATCAAACGCAAAACGAACTCTTCAGACCATCTGACATCGGCCCAAGCGGATGGCCGCTCACTCTCGCCCGTCGACGGCATGCCGCCGTCTCCGCCGTCTCCGACAGCCGCCAAGCAGCAGCAACAGCAGCTCGTCACCGAACGCAATGGTGATAAAACTTGTACACCTGCAAAGTTCCAAGCGGCGAGCTGAAGGCCGAAACATGGTGGATTTGAGACTTCCAAGCAGTGGCCAGGAACATGTCCAATGGTCTGATGGAGGAAGATCCGGCCTTAAACCCTAGGAACAGTTCCTAATTTGGATATGTTCAGTGGTCGAATCATTTTTATAAGCATGCTTTGGTCATACCATGCCACACGACCGGCATCAACCGCCACGATCCAATGGGACACGTGGATGAACCGCCGGATGAACCGTCGGATGCCTAAGGACGTCCCCGGCGCAGGTGGAAGTTGGGACCATCCGCCAGTCATTTCAACATATTTCAACACAACATCAGCGCAACTGATGTGCAACATACACATTCAGCTGGGCACCCCTGGTTGGAATGCAGATCCCTCCGCCCTCTCCCAGCGCACCTACCATGTCACGGACGGAGACCGCAGCCTCAAGACTGAGACCGTCGGCTTCATCCCCCGCCCGCCTCCCGTTCGACCTCACCTGAAACCCAACAAACGCTGAAACCAAAGATGCACCGCACATCTGGGGGATCCGGAATGCATCTTAAAATCATTTGAGATCCACCAGCGGCCCTAGAATCCTAGAAAAGGGATAACAAACAAACGTTGTGGCCGGGAAACCAGCACAACTGTGAACGATTCAGTCTCTCTCTCGCTCTCATTTGGGGTTTCATGTTGTTTATATTCCTGTTCTTCCAAGCTGTCTTAGTATAGCTACTATGGAATTTGCATGGAGTGAATGTGATACTTTGACGATTTTTGACGTGTTCCTTACCACTCTGCCCACATCCATCGGGCCCAAGTCCAAGGTCGCGACTGGTGAGCGCCGTCGGCGGCGCGGGCGTGTGACCTGCCAAACCTGGAAGTAGAACTCACCAAGGTCATTGTGTGAGCCGAGATGATCCACTTGCTCTGCTGTGAGCTGCGCCCAAATCCGACCCACCTGCGGCGAGACGCGTGGACGACGTGCGCGACTAGAGACAAAGCGACGGCACTGCGGGATTGCTGGATCCAAATAATGGAATCTCAAGCGAACGTGTCTGTTCCAGCTGGGATGAGAAGCTTGAAGACGCCTTCTCTGCTTTCCGTGTCGAGCCATGCGCAAAGATTGCAAGTGTTTCCGTGACGAGTTGACGCACGTTTCGGTCAACATGGTTTCCTTCCACGCGATGTTAGCCGGTCGGAGAAAAGAGATGGTTTCGGTTTCGCCCAGAATGGTCTTCGAGTCTTCGGCAAACATTGCCATCCGCAAGTTTGGTGGTTTAATGCGGTTTATATGGCCCCCCATCTACAAGACATCTTGGAGCAAGTTTGTGCCATCTACTCTGAAACCACTGTAGTTCTGGGATGTTCTGGACACGTTTTTTCTAAACCCTAAACCCTAAACCCTCAAATCGGACGCTTTTGTAAAGGGCCGGTCGGAAGTCACTCGCCTGTGTTGGACGAGTAGAGGAACTATAAATCCTCACCAGTTTGTTCCTGAGTTTGAAATCACTCTTTCATGAATTTCTCCTCTGAGTCTGTCATCTATCTCTTGTCTTTGTGCTGTGCCCCCAAGGGGTTGATTCACCCCTTTTGTCTCAGGCTGTTGCAGATCGCTCGCGGGGTCCGTTCAAATCGGTCGGGTTTGGCTGTTTTCTTCACATTGGGCGGGTGTCGCAGCCGATTTGCTGTTAAGCCCTTTGGCACTGTAAAACTCAGGTGGCAAGTTCGTAACATTCACCACCATTCACCAGGATAGGGGTGATAATTGTTCTGGAAGGCAAAGTGGTCACCATAATTGATCCCTTCAGGATAAACATTGGGCTGGCACCCCTTCTTTCAAATCTTGGCAGCGTACATGAAGAGCTTGGACCAGCAGCTGGCCGGCAGCACTCAGAAACTCATAGCGTCCAATCCAAGTGGTACATCTGCCGGCCTGCCGGCGTGTTTTGTGGATTGTTTTGGTTAGTATTGCTTGTGTTGGTTTCAATCTACGGCTTGTATCTCCGCGCGGATTTTTCGACAGCCTGAGGCGCCCCCCTCCCCCCCTTCCCTCTCTCTACGCCGAAGGTGATTGGACTGAGACATGTCGATCGCTGGATCAGAATAGACAACCTCTGATTCGGATTCGTTCCATTTCATGGTCAAACAACCTTGAAATAAACATCAACAAACTCACCCAGCCAAATGTGCAACTCCAATGCACCAACAAGTATGATTGAGCAGGGTATTGTTGTTCGATGTCATTCTGGGTCTTTCATTTCGAACGGTTTGGAGAGAAAAAACGACAAATCATGCCAGATCAAGAAATTCTTCGGTCGCTTTGAAGCCTTCTGTATGTGAAAAAGAATTTATATGAATATCTTGTGCGACTCGCAATTCCTCAAGACGGTCCAAAAAACGATCTGACAAGGAAAACATGCAAAAGGCCAAGTCGTTTGGAAGAAGACTCATTTTCAAGTACCGGTTTTGTGGATTGTCTTGCTTCGTCTGGCTTGTGTTGGTTTCCATTGGTTTCATGGATTGTCTTGCTTCGTCTGGCTTGCGTTGGCTTCCATTGGTTTCAATCTACGGTTGGTTTCAATCTACGGTTTGTTTCTCCGCGCGGATGTTTCGACAGCCTGCCCTGCCCCGGTTGGTTTCAATCTACGGCTTGTTTCTGCGCGCGGATGTTTCGACAGCGACTTTCTGCGAGAACAGGAAAAAGCGAATCAAAGAGACGTGCCGGATTATATAGCTGCTTCAGCCTAGAAGAGGTGATCTTGTCCCTGCCTTGGAACGAAAATAGAACTGTGGAACACTGTTAATAAGCATCATTAGGCTGCCTGCCAATGCGGGCTCGAGCTGGTGGCCGGCGGCATGCCGAAGGCTGTAAATACATGCAATATATGTATATAATATATATATATGCATATTAGTGTGATTTTAATTGATATTTTGTGGTTGACTTGTAGCAGCCGAGAAAACTGCTGGAAAACAATCAACAAGCATTGAAGGATATCATGTTAGTCTTCTGTCTATCCTTATATATATATATATATATATTCTGCTTCATGTTTGGTTCCTCCCCCGCGATTGACAATTTTTCGCACAGTTGCTGT